TTTTTTTCTGTGCAAAATGTGTCTCAACCAAAATGAGATTTTTTTAGGTTTTCTTCTAAACTGTGTAATCTTAACTTTCATCTGGTTCAGTACCTCTTCCAACATTTTACATGTGTTCTCAAAAAAGAACTCCTAAAACCACTATTTCAGACATTTGTCTGTATTCCTTGGGTGAATTTTATTAGGCCTGAAACTTTGAAAATATTGGGTTAATTTAAGTGATATAGCTTTCCCGTTTTTTCTTTTTTATTCTAGACAGCTCTTGTCTATATATTTCTGGTGCTAATTTTTCTACTATGTGATCTTCGTTTAGTTTTTTGAGGAAGAAATAAACAAAATTATATTAGAGTCCTTTCCTTTGGCATTGTCAGCTTCTAGTTTTCCCTCTACCTCAAATAATATATTCCTCAAATACAATATTTCTCATTCCCAATCAATCATAACAGTTGTAATTTTTGTAGTGTGTAGTATTTAGAAATACTTCTTAAGCCAGAGAGTTTGAATGACTATAAAATGTACATCCATATTACACGGTCAATGGAGTAACTGCATAAATAAATCAGATTACACTCCTATCTATAAGCAAAAAGTGGTAGAAGAATATTTATCATCATTTGTCCTCCATTTCTTTATCTGTGGGTAAAGGCTTATGGAGCTCAGTGTGATATACTTCTTACACAGCTTTAGAGCAATGAACAAGCCTTAAGTCTACCAAGCATTGGTTGCTCGTTTGCTTACCAGATGCTAATCTTGATAGCAAACCACCTTCCCAGCTCTGGTCTGGCTGCTGCCTCCAGTGTGCCTCCCTAGCATCTAAGCCATTGCAAAATTCCTGCTCAGAAGAGGTGGAGAGCAATTGTGGAGATTTGTATATCAACTCTGCCTTTTTTCAGTAGAAGCTATCACAATATTTCTGCTTCTTGAAACATAAGTCAAGTGTAGCCATTTCACCGCAGGCAAAGAGTTAAAAGAAGGAACAACAAGGCTCATGAAAATCAGAAAAAGAAAATACTGTAAATCCTTCTACTTCCTTAGTCATGGGAACCATACGAGGCAGAAAACAAAATCGTCCAAGACTCATAAAAAACCACAATTCACACAGAATGCAAGAAACATAAATATATTACTGAGGATGATATATGCACAAGTTGCTATCAACCTCAGTATTATGCCAAAATGGAAAAGACTGTCCAGGTATCAGCATGTGGCACACAAAACATATTTTTTGGTTTGTTTCTTATTCTCCCACCTTTCTCTCCTCAAAAAACTCCAGATATATTCATGAATGCTTTGCAAAAGAAATTCAGACAAGCATCACGAGATAGATTATTTCTACTGGTCAAATTCATAAGCCTTTCTATACCCCAATATTAAATATGCACAGTAAAAAAGCATTATGATTAAATTGGAAAGACAAAGGGAATAAATAACATCCGTTAAAGTTTCAGGTTATACTATGGAAAGACATTCAACACACAAATTTAGTACTTATGCATGAAAATCCAATTGACACAATAGGTTATAGCCATTCCAAAGAACCTATTACGGCCCATCATGTAAATGGTTACACATAACGACACAGCCATTACGGTCTGCGGGGCTTTGCAACGGTGAATTAAAAATTCTCTACCAAGAACAGACTTTGAGCGAATAGGCTCAAAGGAGCTGTTGCAATAAACTATGCCAAGACCTGTCTTAGTAACTCCCAATTATACATTAGCCCTCTAACGCAAGCTGAATTGCTGAATTTTGGAAAGGTTTAGTTACAGCACAGAAAACAGAATTAAAAGTCGGAATCCTTGAATATGTACATATAGGTATCGCTGTCCTTTGAGGTTTCAGGTAAGAGAAGAAGCTGTCTCAGATGTCAGTGGCACATAACTCTTAGAGAGTAGATTCTCTCTTTTCCCCTTTGTCCCAGTCCTATCATGTAGGGCATTTACACAGCAATGGAAATAAGATCAGGGCCACTACCACCTCTTTTAAACTGCTTTGCATTTGTATGTCTGTGTCTTATCTTTAGCACAGAACAAATCTGCTTATGGAAAATAATGTAACACGAACACTGCCCATGAAATCTTGGACCTCCTACTACTTTCCTTAGGGGAAACAATAAAACTTAGGCATATTTATTAATAATATATCATTTTTCCATTGCACCTCTCAGTTGCACAGTTGCTGCAAAGTAGTATTTTACTCACTGGATGGGTGGCTAACGTGGTAAAAGAACTATCTAAACAAAAAGGCAAGAAAGCTAAAATCTGAACACTGTGTGCACCTAGTTCTGTCTTGTACTAACCAGTGAGTTATTAGTGATGCTTCAGTTAATGTGTATGTTCTTGCCAAGATCTCTGTGCACTTTCCTTGACAGGATGCTTTTCTTTCAACAAAGTCCCTAGATAGGAGTAAAGACTGTTTAAAGGAAGGTTGTCTTTTCAAACCTTTCAAACGATTACAGCATTGTCTGATTTTGAGAAGCCTATTTTTAAACATAAAAGGGGCCTCATCATCACACCTTAAAAGCACCTGCATTCTAAAACTTTTGCTAGATTTTTGCTGAAACCTAAATGTCAGCTCCCCATATATTAAAGCCCAATTTTTCCTTTAATACTCCTGACTTTCTAAACCCCTTCCCCAGACAGTAACATTACACACATTTTTCAAGGATGTGTGAGTTTTTGCTGATGGCCTGTAGTTCCCCAGATACTCACCCATCTGGTATTCCTTTTAGGATATTTCTCTGTAGACGGATAAGACTGAAATTTGGATCAACTGTATAAAATCCCTGTGCATCCCCTGGCTATCCATGGTGATAGCAGCCTTCTGTACCCAGTAGTTCTTAAGAGATGCCATTTGCAGTGCATGGTGTTGTGCAACAGCCGAGCAAAGCTCCCAGTTTCCATTTCAGGTAAACACTGACTCAGATCACTTGAATAGGGCAACATTTTATCAATATCACTGAGAGATCAGAGCCTGTCTAAATCCACAAGCTTTAAGGTTTTTATTAATTATTGTGGGGCTGATGGAAGCCTATGTTTCTTTTCAAACAAATTATCTTTCAAACATCTCTATCTCAGCTCTCTTTGTTTTTTTCTCCTGGGTTGCCTCTTTATTTTCATGGGAGAAAAAAAAATATGTTAAGTTCTTTACATGCAATAGGCAGGCACTGAACTGTGAGCATAGCCAAATCCCATGGTGACTGGATGTCCACAGCCCAATTTACTTCACTCCTCCTTTCAATAAGCAGGCAAGGCAAAGAATGGAACAATTTTGCTTATCTACTGGTTGCTGCCCTGTTTCAGCAATGGGTGGGGAGGCAGCACCATCTCTCAATCTGTGCAGACATTTTTCAGCTGCATGCTCTGAAATTGTAATTTTGAGATGTTTATAAATAAGTAAAAACCCGCCTGTATTTAATGCAATGTGATATTTGCATAATTACTTTTCAAGGTAATGAGTATAACAGAAGCCAAATCACAGACGGTTGAATATCTTTAGAGCAGCCTGTGCCAACAAATAAACACAGAACTCATATCAAATTGCAAAGCAGTTTAGAACCAGAGTAATTTATTTAGGGAACAATAAGCATCTCTTTGTGTTGGGCAGGTGGCCAAGGTGAACAAACGAGAGACATATATGCAATTGAATATTAGATGAGCCATCATTTCATTTCACCACCATTTATCTCTTGGAGTATCTGTAACCAACCCTGCTGAATAAAACGTTACAGAATAAAGGTGGCTGTCAAACCACCTCCTCCAAAGCCAAGCAAACAGTTGGGCCGAAGCAAATAACAACAATTGAAAGGAAATACTCTCTTTGTTAGGTGATGAAATCAAGACCAACATCAGCCCAGCACACAAAGAGCTGGTCAGTGACATCTCTGACTCCCTGCATAGATGATAAATTATCCAGCAGGTGGGAGGTGGGTGAGAGGTGCAGATGGCTAACCTGTATAGACACAAAGCAAGCAACTGGCCCACCTGCACAGCCAACCCCAGAGACAGAGGGGCATCAACTACTAAGTCAAGGTATGACAATGCTTTATCATCCACTTACTGCATAATGCATCAGGGAGTAATTAATATCAATATTATTCAAGGGTCTGCAGTGTCTTCTTCAAGACCATTACAGAACTTTGGAGAACACTGGTCCATCAGTAAGACATTATTTCTACACAAGAAGAGGTAGTGGTCTTTGGGGTCATGAATGTTTTGACAATTCTGACTGAAAATATTCCCAATTTTCTAACATAGTTACTGTTTGGAATGGGAAGAGACTCACATTGCACCTCTGTACAATGTGTAAAAGTGACTTGATAGATGAATTGAACTTATGAAACACCCAAATCCAGGTATTACTTTAACACATTTCACAACATTTTAAGAAAATAAAGCAGAGCAATAAATATGTAAACAATTTTAAACACAGCCTGTTAAAACTGTCTGGTTTAGACTATAATGTTATGATCTAGTGCTGCTGAGAAATATGTTCTAAAAGCTGGGAGGTTCTTCAATCACAATTAGAAGAGGACACAGTTTTAAAAAGAGAATTAACAAAATGTTTTGAATAAAGTCTCTTTTTTTAATAAATGCAAACTCAAAACTTTTAGTCTCTCAAAATGCTTCTTAAGCTAAAACCATTCAGATAATACAGAGTTTTTAAATAGAAGCAGAACTCTCTCTGTATATATAAATACATATGAGAAAAGACAGACTAGATATTAGCAAATAAAAATTACAATATAGGGAAAACACATGTCCGTGTAAAGATTTTGGCTACTTGCTCCTGGCGTAGAAAACAGATTCAGAAGTGATGTGTAACTGGAAGAAAATTCAGGCTCTGAAATTCCACGGTAAGCTGTATACAGTAAAAGACAAATGAAACTACTGGAGATCAGAGAGGATTCATTTACACTGAAAGATTGAACATTAACTTGTCTGTTGTGCTACTGAGGACCTCAAGCTTCCACTAACATTACCAGGAATGTTAATGTGTGTAGGAGAACAAAGTACTCAATATCCATCTAAGTGACAGCAAAGCAAGAAAAAGTAACAGCCTGCCTGAAAGGTGTAAACATCTGAGAGGAAAAGGAATAACTTAGCAGGTAGCATCATGACACCACGGTGTTCAGAAAGTACTGCTTTGACCTAAGCAGCTGGTGTTATACAAAATTTAAATCAACAGTGAATATGTTATGTATTGCAAATTTTTTTCAGGGACAAAACTGTTTCCAATGATGCCCAGCATTAGAGGGTGTCCACAGGACTGCCAGTCTCATCCAGTGAGGAATATTTCAGCTTAAGGAAGAGAAGGAGAACTTTAAAAGGACATTTCCTGGAATATGCATGCCACAGAAAGGTAATCTGTCAGATTGAAAGCTCAAAACAGAAAAATCTTGTCCCATTAACAGCTCAACAAGAGATCAGAGCAGCATGACCAGAGCCCACTACCATGGCCATATAGCAAACCTATTGCTCAAATACCTGGGAAATCACTTTGATTTTGTTTCCTGGCATGAATTCTTGCTTTGTAAAATGTTTTGCTTTCTCAGCTGCACAGAATTTGTGTTTCAACCATTTATTACTTTGCTAGATTCAAAGTGCTTCAAAAATTCGTAAGAAAATTTGGTTCCTTCCCCTGCATTTCTTTTGCTATACATATGTTAAACAACAATTCAGAGAGAAATTTCAATTGTCAAGAGCTCTTGTAGCCATACATCAATCTTTTTAATAGAGTTCACTGGGTTTTTTTTCCCCTTCCTCACAATAGTAACTAAGACAGACTCTATAAATTCTGGGATTTTGGTCTGCAAATAAAAATCTCCTGGACGTGCCCTCACATTTATGAATGTGTTAGTAACTATGAGATTTTTGCATTGCTTGCTTTTAGCAGCTCATGGCAGGAAATAAATAATAGTAAATCTAAGATCAAGTCATTAATTCTACTGTAACTCAAATGCAGTAAGAATATATCACAAGACTCAAAGACTCATAAGCTGAAGGGGAAAAGGTTTCTTTTTTTTTTTTTTTAAAGAATCTCAAAGCATGCATTCCCAAAATCATTTAGACATACCAGTGACTTCTCTAGGATTACCTTTTTTTTTCCCCAGAAAGCACTCTGAGCAGAAATGACATTGTATTTGCTGGCAATTTTACCCTTTGAAACGTTAGCTTTTCATCAGAAAGTCCTCACAGAAAGCATTATTTCTTCATTTTAATCTTACTGAATATATACCTGATTTACTCAGCCAGCTCTGAATGGGCAAACCCTTGTTCTCCCTACACTGTTTATCTGAAGGTGAGAAGTCAAAATGGGGTCATAAGAAAACCTAACCATCCAGAAACCAATTTTTCAAAGCAATTTCTGACCATCATGAGACAATACAAACTAATGATGCAGAACTCGATGCTCTAAGAACTCCTCTTAAGCTAAAGAACCAGTGGCTTTTGGTCATGAATTCTAAGCACTCTGAACTCGGTGCACAACAGGTGGGCTGAGTGCTCTTGGATCACAGCTCACAAAGTGATCTGTGTAAGGAGGGGTAGGTTACAAAAGCTCTGCCTACTGTGCTACCCAATGTCTTGACCAGGGATCAGCAGCAGACAGAAGAGTACAGGAATGGTGATAGTTTCCAAACTTTCATAAGGCATGGCTTAAGGGTTTTGCCAACCACAGGGAGCTTCTTGATATCCAAGAGCTCACAAGAATTTTTTTTCTTTGAATTTGTGTCCTGCTATTTAGAGCCCCTGACAACATTTTGCCTGTGTTAGATACCTCTATGGCAAGGACTTTCACCCCCTTCAGCAGCAAAATCAAACCTGAGTTTAGAAGTTCATAATACTGGCCTGATGTTTAAAATTTCCTTCTACCAGATAAAGCATCTAACATTGCTTAACTTCTTTACAGATGTCTATAATTATGCAAAAATATAATCCCAACAAGTAACTCATACGGAACTGAAATAAGACATCTGTAAAGGGACTTTCTAACAGAAATGCCAAGCGAATCTTGGTGAATCTTTTTTATAACTTATCAGGAGTGATATCTGGAAATTTGAAAGGTAATATTCATTAAGAGAGTTAAGTTTTTCCCTAATTCACCTGTGTTCTGTTGCCGTGGGATTTATGGTGCTGAAAAAATCTCCAGAGCAGTTAATTAGGGGTGAGATAAGAAAGGGTTTATTTGCCAAGGCAGAAGATGTTACAAGATGCCTGCCGGTCGTGCCTGAGTGGTTACATTTTATAATACCATCCAGCCAATCCCAGATGTGTCCACCCTGTGGCCTTTACTCTGGTACGCCCTGGGTCCACCCCCTTAAAATGGGTCTGGGGTGTATTTCGGGACCCCCCCATTCATCCCATCTTCACCATCATCAGAGCACAAAGGGTACATAGTTACCTAATTCTTGACCTATTCTGTGGTTTAGGCCCTGATACGCTGTTCTACCAACAATCTAGGCCTTGCCTTGACAAAAGACTAAACATTTCTGCTGTGTTCAGAAGTAGGATTGATATAGGGAGCATAGAATGGGGTAAGAGGGTTAAGGAATGCGTAAACAAGGGTGCTAGAGGGAAAGGGATAAGGGACAAGGGACAAAGGAGGGAGGGTTGCTGCTTTTAGAATCTACTTTTAAAACTTACAAGGCTTACAAATATTAGAAAAATAAAAAAACCATTAGGGGCTTAAGGCATCAGTTCATATATGTTTACATATGCCTGAGTGATCTTCTTTTTAATATTAAGACTTGCCTAGCTTTCTTTTGGGCAGTTATACCTTCTTAATTTTCCCCAAGGTTTATTTAGAAGTAGATATGTGGACAAGAAAATGCTTTAGATAATTCTTTTAAAAACTCTGCAGTACAAGTTACCTCTACTTGTTAAATTCTAAAAATTCCATTTTAGGGAGTGATATTCATCAGTCTTGTTGTCACTGGTGAAAAAATAAAATAGAAATCTATCTGGAGGACAAATCATGGAGTTGTGTCTCCCAGTCAAGCAGAAGCAAGTTCTGCATTTTCTGCATTTCCACAAACTTACTCCACCCTAAAGGTACCCTATGGTAGGAATTTAGAAGTGGATGAGGCCATCACATTGTGGAGCAATTTGGTAAAAGATTCTGGTGATATTATTTTGTACAGGTCTTTTCTCATCAAACACTTACCTAGTGAATTATTCACTGAGGAATAAACTTCAAGCAAGCCCTCATTCGCATCCCACTTTTGCTATAAAACTAGAAATCAAATCATCACAAGCTTATCCAGCCAAACATCTACTTGAATTAGTTAAACACATTAAAAGTAGCTAAAACAAAATAAAACAATAAAAAAGCCCTCTCAGCCGAATTTATTCTTAATTAGAGACAACAGACCAACTGTGCTGTGCACCTCAGGAAACTTCAGGGGCTGCAGAAAGCTCCAGATTAGATCACTGTTTATCCTTCACAAATCCATCAGGAATTTTGCTCGGCTACAGAAATGTTTTGCCTCGTGTTCCAGGCGGAGTTTCTCTAGATGGTCAATCAGAAAATTCTGCTCACAGTGTTGTTACTCTTCGCCTCTTCTCAAAATTTTCTCCCAAAGTAAAAAAAATTAGTTATTTCTGAGTGAAGAAGTGAGACTGAGAGAGTGATTTAAAAAGTCCAAGGTAATATATATCCAGAGGTTACGAATGTTTGCTCTCTCTCAAGCCCAAATCACTTCCCTTTCCCTACCAGCAAATGTATTTGACAACAAAGGCATCCACAGTACTTAACACAGCACGTGAAAATTAATACAACACTGAAAGTGAGCTGATAGAACAGCCTATTCAATGGGATATTCTAAACTCAGTATTATGTTAATGAAATAATTTACATTTTATTAACATGGGAAGTGATAGTCTGGTTGTGTCTGCTCAGTCCAGAACTCTGTGAAGTCTCCTGGCACCTACTGGAGGATGGAGACAACCAACACATAAATACTGGGAAAATACGAGCTCAACTAATCAGCCAATGGAAAGTTTACTCAATTCTTATTTCCCATCCCCAGACTGGGGTGGGGGTGCAGAAAAACAAGGAAAACAAGACAACTTCTGCTATAAGAGTATGACTTCAGGGTACTGTAACCTCCGCAATGCTACAGTGTCCTTTTCTTAACAGCACGGAAGGAAGGCAGAGTAATGACCCTTTTTTCTTGCACACATGCAGAGACTCTCACAATTCACAATCTCAAAGTTGCAGAAGGGGGTAACTATTGCTAAACTTTGTAGAGCTGACAGTTACAGAGGAGTAAGAAGGTTTCTGCATCATTCCTGGTCACCATCGGCATGAAGACAAGAAAGAGTTAAGCTGAGCTTTTAAAACTTGGAAAACCTACATTACTTCTGGCAACTTGTACATTCAAAGTTTCATTCAGACCTATTTGTAAATTAATTTAATACATCAGGGCCACCCCACCCCATCTTTTATATAACAATACAATCAATATATAATCACATTTCCATTATTTCAATTTCCTTCCCTGGTTAGATGGAAGTGCAATTGGAAAGCTGAGGACATTTCCTCAGTGTTTCAGTGAAAAACATTTTCAGGATAGATCTTGAGCAATCTTAACCACTACTTGTCTGATCAAAAACCCTCAATTAAGCTTTGCACAAAGGGCTGGATGGAACTAAAATCAAATAATATTCATTTCATCGCCCAATAAAAGCAACTCCTAGCTAGCTGTATCATTAGCTCAATTTCAAATGCAAACCCTGGTACTCAACAGAGAAGAATGATTCTTATTTCAAGGGTGTTTTCTCACCTCCTGCCAATGTGAGACTAGTCAGCACGACATTGATTAGAGGAACTGAAAGTGTCAGAGACGTTGAAAGGGAATGGATGACAATTTCATGGTAATTGAAGATTAATTATATTTTTCTAGCAAATAATCACTACAAGTGCAATGTTTCATTTTAAAAAAAAAAGGATTGGACGAACCACCTTTTATTTTCTTTATCATAAAACCTAATTAAACACTTATAGAAACAAATATATGTATATATATATATATATATTATTCTGGCTACTTTATACAGTCCTCTCTTCCTCAGGCTCCTAATTGGGTCTTCTCTCTCAGGTTCCTCCTGCCTACAGGTTACACAGCAGAATATAAACTCACTGCTCTGGGCTGAGTTCTAGCAGCACAGGGCACCTAAAAGCAGATGTTGCAATACCTGCCCCTGTACTGTGAAATGTGTTGTTCCATTTATTATAATTTCACTTATCCTGGGGACTGTATGCATTAACCAGGGCAGGTATGAGTTTACAAAAGTCCTGTACTTGTCTTTCTTTTCCAGAGGCAGTTATAACCTACTTTCTCTCATTACCTTGTACATTTGAAGGTAAATAACTTCAGCTAGAAAATCTCTCCGAGAGCACATTGCTTGGCTCAGTTTCACTGGCCAGCCAAGCTTGCTAAAGAATACATTTTAATAGGCTACCATCTGCAACCTTCCCATTATAGCCTCTCTTCCAGGATGTGTGATATGTGACAACTTTGTTAAATGCCTATAGGAGTAATCTACCATGCAACATTATTTCAGAGTGTCACACACTGGAATTCAAATTATACCATTCCTCTCTCAAAAGAAAATTACCATAACTTCAAGGAGGAAAGTAATTCTGAGAGTTATGATGTATTTGAACCCAAGTTTAAATCTCTATATTAAAACCAAAATAATTTTGTGGCTTAAGGGGCACTCAGAGGAAGGCGATCAAGCAAGAGGAAACAGAAATTTCCAAGCACTTGCAACTTCCCTAGCAAATCTTGCTCGCCGTTGCAAGGGACAGAGTTCAGTGGTTCAATTCTCTTCTTCCTCCTACAGCTGCTGAGAATGCAGATGACCATTAATGGTTTGGGTTGGAAGGGACCCCAAAGATCATCTCTTTCCAATCCCCTGCCATGCACAGGGACACCTTCCACTATCCCAGGTTGCTCAGAGCCCCGTCCAACCTGGCACTGAACACTTCCAGGGATGGGACATGCACAACTTCTCCGGCCAATCTATTCAGTGCCTCACCACCCTCACAGGGAGGAATTTCTTCCTAAAATCCAGTCTAACCCTGTCCTCCGTCAGTTTAAAGCCATTAACCCTTTGTCCTATCACTACACGTCCTTGTCTCTAGACTTCTTATTAGATAATGATATCACAGGCATTGACTTAGTACCTTCAAATTCTATTTCACATCATCTCAGTCCTTGGAATCACATTTTTCTGTAGGTTTTTTCTTTCCAGTGTATAGAATACAGATTCACCAAGAGTTTTAAAAATTATTTCCTTAATAGTTCTATTTCCTCCCTTCACAGATACTAATTAATTTTGCCCTGCCTTTCAAGCATGAAGATTTCATTGCAGAAACATCAACAAGTCAATAATCAAGCACAGAGAATCTACTGTGCTAGGTGCTGGGGATGGATACTGTGATGAAAGTTTTTCAGAAGGCAAAAAGAAAGTGTAAAGGTCAGTATAGCTCTTCGCACTGACATTTAATTTTCTCATTCTATTTAACTATGCAGATCTCAAAGTGCGCTGGGAAGATAAAAACAGGATTTATGTTGTGAAACTTGAAGTTAAAGTCAAGGACCAAAAAATCTTGAAGCAAAGTTAAAGATCTGGTACAAAAGAAAACAAACAGTGTGAAATAAAATAAAAACTACAGCAGGCCAAACTTGACCAAACAAATAAACCACCCTGGGAAAACACATATGTTTTAACATTGGGTGCACAATGTACTAACAGAGAGTTGGGTAGAATTCTTTCCCTCGGAAGCTCTTCCCCACCACATGCATTAAAGGTATTTACAGCAGTGCAGGCACGAGCTCAGTTTCCCCTGAGAAGACTACAGGCCACAGGATAGGAAAATGTATGTCCTTATGGATCAATGAATAATAGCAATCTCTTCATCCTCACAAGCTGCAGTGGAAATTAACTCATAGAAACACGTGCAATTGATTTTCATTACCAACCCCCATTATTATCAGCTGTCAAAAATCATCTTTTGTAAGGGGCTTCAAATGAATTTTCCACTTAAAATAACATTATCACCCTCAGAGAAAAAAAGTAATGGGCACAGAGTATTTCACCATTCACAAATTATCTTTACCTTCTAAATTAGAGCAGTTCCTTCAAAACTTTTTTTTAGGCGAAAGCTGCAGTTCTGATTAGTCCTGACTCCGTGGTGGATGTTCACTGTTAGACATCTAAATTAGAAACTAATTTTGAAAATGCATCTTAATATTAAATGCAGATTAGATGCCAAACTTTAGGCACCTGGGGACGAAATATATGAACTTTCAGTAACATTAATATTAGAACATAGTCTTTCACTACTTTTTTTCTATGCACACTTCAACGAAATGCGACGTTATGGGAACACAAGCAAGGATTTTTAATATGTTTCAAGTTCTGTTAAGCTATGCTGTTAAGCCTTAATTGTTAGTGAATCCTATGTGAATATTACACAGCTCTCACAGCATTTTGTCAGCCATATAATGCCTTTTTGTGTCAACAGACATTTAAGGGTACCTAAATATATATGGCAAAGTCCAGAATGAAATTGAGCTAATATTTTGGGTCCTGAGAAGCTAACAAGAACCTGACAAGCACTAATGAGTTCCTGTGTTCATTCTGCTTTCTTCTCTTCTCCATCTAGAAAAAGAGATGAACTGCCATCTGCTATTAGGTAGCCACCAACGGTGAAGATGTTCCAAAATACATTTCACTTGCACAAGAAAGAAGAGCATTGAGCTAAAAATGTTAGATCAGCACATCTGGACCTCAGTGGCTTGGTCCAATATCCCATAAATTTAAGGATAGGTATGAAAAACTCAGAACCTCTTCTTCTATCCCACTATATAATAAGGAATCTCTAGTTAAACATTAATCAGCAGAAGATGCTTTTTCCATACCAGCTCTCACTATTAATGACTCCTGCACTGTTTATGAACCTTAGTGGGAGAACGCTCTGCTTTCATTGGTACCACTAAGGAGTGTATATGTGTCCAGGTAGTGAGGAGAGACCACTGCCCCACTGTCGTAATGGAACACATGATCTGGAGTGAAGTACTATCCCAAAAGACTGGCAGAAACAGCAGATGAATTCTAGGACAAAAATGAAGCTAGAATGTTCTGATACCACCCAGATATAGACAATGCTGCTACCAAAGATTTAGAGGCATGGAAAAGAAAATGAAAACCCTATGTTTATTTATTCTATACTTTCTTATATTTCATAACTATTACGTTCTTCTGTCACCAGCTATTAAACTCTTAGGAAACCTAGGCCCTGAGTAGTGCAGCTCAAAATCATGTATCCTGGAACTTGGCTTCTATGAGCAAAGGATACTAATTTAGAGTACCTAAATCTTCCTTAACCTTTTATTAATATCCAAACCTCTACCTTCAGCCTTATAGATTTTCTTAAAACCTCAGTTTAGAACAGAGTTGATTTTAACTCTTCTTCTAACAGATCAATAGCTGTCCTTTCCTACCTGGAAAGATAGTCTTTTATACACCTCTCAAGAATGAGCCTTCTCCTATAAGACAAGAAACAAGACCCGTTAAACAAGACTCCTAATTTCTCTGTATGAGACAAGTGTTAATATGAGAAAAGTTTTATTTTTTTCTAAAAGAGAGACCCAAGTGTCAGGTGAAGGAATTTTTGGATACTGAAACTACATTACTATGTAAACATAAAGATTAGGAGTCATAACTCTACAACCACAAAAGGGGATTTCTCTATGATGTTAAACATCAGTCTAATTAGATATGGAAACAACAAGTTACTTTGCATAAGCAAGGCAGACCTTGCAGTTCAAGAGTGCCATAATACTGAGTTAAAAGTTCCTGTTCAAAATCAGTCAGAACAGGTATTTAAAAATAGGTACAACTAATAAATTGAATTAGTCTTCTTATTGTTTAATAAGAAAAAAAGATGCTTTGTCAGAAATGCACTTATTATCAGACTTTCTGTCCAAAAACTTTGAGTTAAGGTTCTGTCTTAATATTAGATAAAATTCTAGAAATAGGAAACAAATCAGACACCTGTTTTAGTGCCAAGAAAGATATTCACTAACTCTAAAATATGAAAGACTCATAGAAGCTAGTGAGCTACATACTGTAGCTGTCTTATCTGACCAGCACTGTAACATAGTCTGCAAAATGTGTTTTCACCTTCTTAGACATCAATTTTTCTATATAAGATTTCAGTGGGGTCCTTAAATTGTAAATATCTCCAGCATTTAATTACATGTACTACTGATTACAAATTTGATAAGGTTTCAATACTCAGCTGCAAAATCTATTTTTTATCTAGGGAGATGAAAGGCATCTTCTTCCTCACAACAGATATACTGGCACAGCTGCCAACAAATAATTGTCACGAAAGGCAGGCATGGCTTTGATGCTTAAATCATGTCATCCTTTACTTATCACGTACTAGATTAAACTCAAAGCCTCATTACAGTTGTGATCATTAAATTCAACCTGGTTAAAACATTGTCACTCTCTCCTGGCTTACATCTCCCAAGGTAGCTGCTTTCTTTGGGTGGAATGAATCTCTGAAACGATGGGGTAAAGCACATCAGACATAACAGAGTCATCCAATCAGCTACTGCAGACAACCACATCACATAACTCTGAGCATAATAAAATCCATCCTAACACCAAATGTGCTCATGTCCCCTCTGCTCCTGTAAATGGCCACTCCAGATCCTAATTCCATTCATAGTTCTTCCTAATTTCCACCATAAATTTATTCAGGGGCACTGGGTACTCATTTTTTGTTATGTCAGCATTGTTCATCATCTACAATAGCTCTTCCAACCTCCACAGTGTTTAAACCTCAAGTTTTTAGAGACAAAAATAAGATCTTCTCTCTACCTTTGTGTTTTGGCTTGAAATATTAATTTTAAACATGAAGATATTGATCCCCTTACTGCCCCTTTCTGCTGTTCTGTGAGGGGGGAAGAGAAAGCAAAGAAAGCAGGACTCTCTTCTAAAACCATTCCCTTTAGGAGCAAACTTGACTCCTCTAAGGACAAAATGAAACTTGTATTTCCTTGCCATGTGCAGTAAGAACATACATGCACAAAAACTGTGCTGCAGCCTTTAAGAACTGAGCTGTTTGCTGAGGTGTCTTTGCTGCCCCAGGTTGAAAGTGTCGATTATCACATTTGTGTTTTGCTATGAGCAAGGCTATGCTTTCAGAAGATATTTATGCAACCACAGGGAAAGTAATTAGGATGGATATTGCCACTAGTTCTTCAAATCGCTTAATCACACTTTTCTGCTTTGAGCTAGGAATTATTTATCATAATTTCCTTGACAAACTAAATGTCATACATAGTGTTTCTCATTTTAAGAAGCAAGCTTTTTCTTCCAAGTATTTATCTTTGTTTGAAATGTTCCTGTTAATGCCGAGTCCACAGATGAATAAATTTATATTGACAGGGATAATACATAATTCAAAAGTGAAGCTACTGTCATTTTGAATATTTAAAGAAATATTTTATTCTGAAATACTAATACTTTCAGAATTCTACTCCTACAGTAGTGTTCCAAATTAATTGGCAGTTCACATTTTCATTTCACTGCAATCTAAACAGTAAATGGCTTTACATTTTCATAACTTTATTTTTTTAGCTATTTCTAATAATTTCAATCAGTATATATAATTAATTAAAGCTTGTATCCAACTGGCTCCATTCCACAGATTAGAAATGACACAGATCTTTCCGAAGCATTATATTGCTGGATAACTCTATTACAGACACATGAGAGTATTCTAAATTAATTCTGTCTGGATGTGAAAATTAGTATTTGCTATTCATATATACTCCTTTAGGTTTTCTTTACCAACACAGTCATGTCATTTTTCTTTCTAAACTGCCCAGCTCTCTAACATATACCTCCCATGAAAAGCATGCATGAGCTGGGTGCATTACAGTCCACAGACACGTGGTTCCTGTCATATTTGCTGTAGCAAGGTACCTTTTCTACGTGTTAAATAATTCAGTAATTCTGGTTGATAGTGTATGTGCCAATGTTTGCCACTAAAGTACCCTTTGTTGATAATTAGTAACATTTTTTTTGAGCTGTGGTGCTCCAGGGCTTGCTAGGAACAAAAAAGTACCTCTGCTTCTTATTCCTTGCACAAAGAATGTTGTTACTGCTTTTGTTGATTGCTCTCCCAGTGAAAAGGCATTGCCTGACCAGCCATCCTTTCCCACAGCCTTTGCCATCCCTTGCTGTCAGCCTCCAGCTTTCCTGCAATTGCCCCAGACACCTCTGTCCCCGCTGGGTGGGAATGGACACCACTAAGCCAAATTCACACCTGTGAGCAGCACAGACTTGCTGGTTTCCTCGGATCCATCACAACAGATCAGTGGCAGAAAAGTTTAGTACTAAAATAGATGTGAGAATTACTTGTCAAACTTCAAAGTTAGGCTTCTGGGTATAACACTGAAAAAGGGCTGTTTTATGGAATATAAGGAATATCATTCCCATCGCCATCTGAAGCAGTGCTCTTTCCTACCTTCTTCAAATATACCTCAGTCAGGAATTCCTTGATATCACCTAATACCCAAAAGAGTTAGTAGACTTGTGATCTTCCAAATTATCCCTGACACCTGGTCATTTTTACTTCTTTATAAACTTTTACATATATATTGGTACAAATACCACTGAATGCCACAACTACATATACAAAGAATATCAATTCAGGCCTGATCATTCAGGAGACACAGAAACTATTAAAGACCTTTGCACTCTCCTAGGAGTTTCCATTTGTCTATAGAGTGTTTCTTCTATTTGTCCTGTTCATCCTGACAGCAAAAAGCTCATTAAATACCAGTTGTTCATATATTTCTTACATTGGTCATCTCTATCATATTTACACACAGCACACTAGGGCAGCTTTTCTTACCATGGCTCCCAAGCTTTGCTATGGATGTGATGCTATAGGAAACCCCATGATAAAAATCTGCACTTCAGACAAGCAAAAGCAGAGATTTAAACTTGTAGATACTTTCTAAATTAATTTGCCATTTAACTCTCCTGCTGAAGAACTCAACAGCTGTGTTACTACCTAGCAGTCAAGAGAGGAAACTTTATAGAAGTATATTCATGGGAGCTCTTTTTGGAAGATAGTTTTCAAGGGATCAGATCACAATTTAAGTTCAAAACTGAACAAAAGCTAAAAATGTGGAGCAAACCATCAGGCTCAAATAGGTGTTTTTCCAAAAGATTTTGAATGAAATTGCAGCCAAAAGAACTGCTTTTGAGAAGATTTTGATATCCAGTATCTGTTTGCCATATTGACTGAAACATATTAATGTAAAGAAAAAAAAAGATAAATTCAGCAATCCTATGTATATAGCCTTTCCTTTTTTTCATATATGATTACCAATAGCCTTGACATACTCAAAGAATAAAATTGTGAGATATGCAAAAACCCCAAATATTTTGTTAGATTTTACAATCCACAGATATTCAAACAGCAAAAGGACTACAGAAGTCATATGTGAAATTTGTGCTAGAATTCCCGTGGATCTTAAAACAAATGAGTATGGTTATCTATCATAATACTAATTTTTTTTTTTTTAATTTTTGGTTTTCTGAGATTTTCCAGTGGCAAAGATGTGTTAGTACACCTACAGGCCTAATAATATTTAGATAAAAATACTATTTAGGTTATTTTAAAAATAATGCTCAACTTAAGGTAGCACAAAAGAGAACATCTGGATTCAAAACACGTCAAAGTTTACTGCAACTGACTCAAAGTCAGCTGGGAAGTCCATGGAAAGGATCCCATTGTCTTACAAATAGCTCTTCTATCAAGCCAATGGAGAGCACATTATGTACTAAGACCCCTTTGTGACAACTTCATTCAGTGTTACTGGTTCAGAAAACATCTTTTCCTGGCTTGACTGATATTTTGCCACTGCTTTTACTAAATTCTGTCAAAATTGTAACATTTTCCTGTAGGTTTATCTTTGCAACTGTTGAGTTATATATGCTATAAATTTATATTGAAATTTCATATAATTAAAAAAGTGTCCTTGCAGCTACTTTGAAGTGAAAAATCATCAGAAATATTATCAGAAGATTTAAAAATAAGATTAATTACTACAGTTAAGACATCACATAAAAACACACCATACCATACCAACATTAATTCCAGAAGCTATTCAAAGAATTAATTTGTAGTAATTTCAAAGACCAAAGAATCCTATTAATTCAAAATATCTCCTTTTCCAGTTATTTATCTTTTTCCTACTCAGCGTTAGGATGTTCTCTTGAAAATTTTCATAATATGTTTTGCAATTGTAGATATCATCTTTTAATTAATTCACCAACAACCGTGTTCTCTTTTCACAAAAGCAGACTGCTCTAGCACTCTTTAACAAGCTGCATTTATTCAAATTAGAGGGGTGAAACTCTAGATAAGAAAGATGAATTTGGGTACTAGGCAATTGCTTAGAGACTTTTTATTAATTAGAACAAATGCTTGATTCAAATACTTCATAAAAATGGCACTACGTACCAACATTTGTTTGTATTATGTTTAGTTTTATTTGAATAACTCAATAATAGCCTAATTTCAATTTTAGGACTGCTGCTTTGACAATAAAATAGTTTCATGTATAATTTAGGCCTGACCTCAGTTTTGCCTTGGACATACAAAGCACACCATGTAAAAGAAAGGAGATCAGTTTTTAAAATAATCTTGCACTGCTGTATTGATAAAGTGATCTAACTTCCTAATTGATCCAGTAGCCCATTACACGCCTTATATCACTCAAGATTGATCAAGTGATAATAGCATTTGATGTAGGTCTTATACCACAAAACAAACAGTTCATCACACCAAAACACGATGAGACTGCAGACTGGACAATCAATGGATCCATGCAACATTTATTTCCTACTCTAAAATATCACTAATACCATATTCCGTTAGAAAATACCACTTGGGCTGTCCTTTTTTTAACCCTTTCCTGTATTTTTTGTAGAAAAGAATATTTACAGGGTCAGTTAAGCTGAATTACCTTTCCCTTTCCAAATTTTGGAAACCAGTAGTTCATCAGGCCACTGAGCGTCCAGGCAGCCACATGTGGGTGTCATTTGAACACACGTGGAAATGTCAGACACCTTTACTCTGCTTTTTGTGAACCTTGGATTACGTCCTTTGTTTTTGTTGGCAAATGGTGCTCCCTCAAAGTCAGCACATGGATAGTGTGAGGAGCAGGATCTTGCCTTGTCTCCTGACTACTGAAATGGTACCAACAAAACCCCACAAAAGGTAGTTATAAAATTACCAGTTCTAGCCCGCTTTAA